CATGTACCCTCAACCCTCTCATGACAAAGAAGACAAGTATAGTCATCCCTTCTATTTACATGGCAAAAGCACTGCCCTGCTATTGGCAACCTAAGTGCTTTTTCTGAGGCCAGCAGCACTCTGCTCTTGCAGCTATTAGGTGAAGCACCAAGTGATATGAAAAGGAAGGGACCCTACCAGGGTCAGGAGCCTCCCAAGCCAACACCTATGCTAAGGCACCAACCTGACCCAGATTATCCTTCCTGACACTTGGTTATCTAGCCTCTGCTTGAATATCTCCTGTGACAGGGAGCACACTACCTTCCAAAGCTGTATTTCCATCCTTGAGCCACTGACTGTAAAAAGTTCAGACCAATTAGAAACTAAAATTGTGACTCAGTTCTGTTTTCCTTGTTTCTACTCAGAACAATCTTCTTTCCCTTATTTGTGACAGTCCTTCCTATAAATGGAAATGGTTCCTTCATGCTTTCAATGTGCCTGTCTTCAGGCCAGACATGCTCTCAAACAGGATAGACCTACATCCCATCATTATTTATGTTATAATGCTGGTGTATTTAGAGTAGTCTAATGGAAGGGGTCATAGAGACAAACAGCAAAATGCTGGTCTTTAGAAGGTCCTCTTGGTGGAGTAGGGCACACCTGATGGTGCAGTTCATGGTTCCCTTGCTGATTTAAGTCATTTAACTCTGGCTGATTGCCACCAAAATGTACATTTATTCAGTCAGGAGTTTTTCCAATGATGAATCTCTAGAGGCTAGTGATAAATGGATGGATAGATGGATGGATGGATGGATGGATGGAATGAGTGAGTGAGTAGGATCAACTTAACACTTTATATCTGCAGATTTTTGAAATGGTGATTGATAACCAATTTCTAACCTCAGTTTTAGTTTGCTTCACTTTTTAGGTTTCAATTTCTACAACTTTCAGGCTCAGTTTCACCTACTCTTATGAAGGGAAAAGTTAATTTCAAAGTCATTTGTGAAGAAGACCCTAGAAACCAGGTGTGGTGGCATGCACCTTTAATCACAGCACTCAAGAGGCATAGGCAGGTGGATCTCTGTGAGTCTGAGGCCAGCCTGCTCTACATAGTGAATTCCAGGCCAGCTGGGGCTATAGGGAAACCCTATCTCAAAACAACAACAACAACAAGCCCTAGACATTCCACATGAGTTGATAAAAATCCATAGGTATAGAGGCCAGCGAGACAGCTCAGCAGAGAGAGACACTTGTTGGGTAAGCATGGCAACATGAGTTCAATCCCCAGAACCCTCATAAAGGTGGAAGGAGAGAATGTACTACACAAAGCTGTCTTATGACTTCCAGATGAGTACCATGGCATGCATACACACATACATACACACACCACTAATAATAAAAATTTGTAATTATTTTTTAAACCTATAGGTATAAATACAATGCACATAGGACCCTGTACCTGGTATAATCAAAACAGGAGGTCTTTGATACTTTTCCTTGTATGTACAACTTATACAATCAGACAACCAATGTTTAATTGCAGTGACTCAGTCATGAATAATAACAACCAATAAATGTCTGAATTATTTAAACTCACTGGCATGTGAGAATCTACCCATTTTTAAGAAAGATAGACTAAGTGACAGAATAGGAGGGATTTTCCCTACTTTTTCAATGACACTCTGCAAAGATTGCCAGACTTCAATTTTCATAACTTTCAGCCTTATGTAAACTGCTTTACTGTTCTTAAATGGGATTGTGTAGGGAATTGAAGGGAGGACAGGCTATATGCTTACCTCATAACAACTTTGCCAGCTACTGACACATTTTTGGGCAACGGGGTTATAAAACCAAAATAAAAACCAATCTGCTTTCTCTCTCCCTCCCCCAACAGATATGAAGCTCAGCAAGATAGAGCTGGATTGCTGAAGGCTATTCCAAGGTTTGTTCCCGGGTGTAGGTTTCAGAGCTTGTAACTACATTTGTTCAGACAAGGTAAATCACCTGTTACACACACCATGAATGAGGAACACTCCCTGTGTTGCTACTGCATACAGGCTTCCAAACTCCAAATCAATGCAACCTTATCCGGGAGTCAGCTACTCAGAGAATCTTGGTTTCCATGGAAGGGTTTAGCTCTGGGAATTGGGAAGATCCAAGTCTTCAGATGCAAGGCTGGTAGATGAGCTTTTCTGGTGGCATGACAAAGCAATGGTGGGAGTTTGGCTAGGCTATACTGTTCCCTAAGTGTGTGGGTGGAATAGCTCCTGCAGTCAGAGGGCAGGGACGTGGGCTGATTCATCTTTGCAACCCCCTCATTCGGGTGGCAGCCAGTACCTCTTTGAATCCTTCATCACCATGTTCATTACTCCCCTCCTTAGTCCCACTTGAGCCTTCTGAACCTGGGTCCTATGCAATAGCTTCATCAATACCCTTGATTGGTTTCTTCTTTGCTTTTGTCCCTGAACAATTATCTAGCTGGGTTCTCATGTATGTTGTTCAGTTAGTAGGGAAAACGTGTTAAGCTGTGCCAAACTGGTATCCCCACAAACTACCGGACATGGTTCTTGCAGTATTATCTCATATGTTGTATCTGCAGGACAAGAATTATGACTATCAATAGTACCCCTATTAACCAAAGAAGAAAATTGAGACTTGGTTCTTTGAGTGCTGTGTTAGGGAAATATTAGAAGAGTCTGTGCTTCACTTGTCAGTTTGGAATAGTTTTGCTAATTATCTTACAATGTCAGTGTTCTTATGACTCCTCTGACCTCTGCCAACCACCACCAATCCTGGTTAAAATTTCACTTTGGTTTAGTCTCTCAAGACTATTTTGAGCCATTAAAAGTGTAACATTAGAAACCCAAAGTGGCTGGGCATGGTGGCAAGTGCCTGCAAACCCAACAGTTACATACAGGAATGAGTGGATCTGGACTTTGAGGCTAGCCTAGACTATAAATGGTAACTGATTGTCTCAAAAACAACCAAAGTAACTCAGAGTGCTTTTTCAAAATCTTTGGAAGTGATGAAACCTGGAAAATGAAGCTAGGGTGAAGTCTCAATTTATTGGTTGAGCTCTAGGAATGAGGTGGTAGCTTGGTTTACACTGTCTATTTATTATCATTATTAAAATGCACAATCCTTTTCATCTCCTTGAGTTAGTATAATCTTTAACTATTCAGCTATGAACAGAATGCCAGAAGCTCTCACTAATTCTATACCATGTGCCTTCTTCAAATTTTCTTTCTGGAGATTATGTTCAGAGATTTTTACAGACATATTGTATCTCAGTTGGGAGAGGGGAGAAATCATGTTTTGATGCATTCCTTCACTGGTCTGTGAGCACTGCTTTCCCAAAGCCTTTCCAACTACAACAGGGATTGTCGGCCATGCTTTTGGAACTCCCCAAAGTTCATTCCAATTAAGAGTCAGGAGGACGTGCAGCACACAAAAAAAAAGATGGGAGAAGGAATCAGAAATGGGTGAGTAGTGTGGTCTCAATTCTGCCTGCTGCTAACTTGCTATGACTGACCTCTACAAGGCCACTTCAAAGTTTTCACTGGCACCAGAAGAAAGTGGGATACTCTTGCTACTTAAAGTATGGTCCCTAGGCTGATAGCATTCTCATTATCTGGAAACTTGTTAAAAACAGAGACTCTCACCCTAGAACTTACGAATCAGAATCGGCCTGTTAAGAGGATTTTGTGCACATTAAAATTGGAGAAATACCAGAAGTGGCTTCTTGATTTTATGAGTTCTCTTTTTAATTTTTTAAATGACAAGTAAAAGTTGCATATATTTATAATGTTCCACATAGTTATATTTTAATGCTTTACTAGCTTAATCTAGCAAGTTAACACAATGAATCGGTTTGATCCTACAACTTCTATACCTATTAACAACCCTCATTTGTGAGTCCCCTCAATAATGTATGGGAGAGTAACAAGACTTGGGTTTGATTCTTGACAGTGTCTATTATTGGTAGCCTGTGCAAGCTGTTCTGGCTCCAAGCAGCACAGTAGTACTGTGGTTCTCCATAGTAAAGGGAGTGCTGTTCACCATCACACAGTAACTATAAACGGATTTTTTTATATCCACATTATAAGCTGACAATAAATTGGGAGGGGAAGCTACACTTCTATTAGTGGAGCCATCTAGCTGCTTTGACTTTGATTTTATTTAAAGGAAAAATGTTAATGCAATGCTAACTGGAACTGTCAACATTTTATTATTATTTTTTTTTATTCCATGTGTATGAGTGTTATGCCTGGACCGGTGTCAATGCCGTGGAGAACAGAAGAGGCTGGAACAGAAGAGGCTGTCAAATCCCCTGGAACTGGAGTTATGGACAGTTACTAGCTCCCATGTGGGTGCTGGGATTCGAACCCAAGTCTTCTGCAAGAACAACCAGTGTTCTTAACCGCTGAGCCATCTCTCCAGTCCCCTGTTTTGTTTTAAATAAAATAGAAAAGCGATGCTGTTGGCTTTCATTTTAATCTTGCAAGCTCTGGAAATATTCAACCTCCTATTCGGAACTCTCATCCAGGTGGGATGTTTCCTCCCCACTTTGTAGCTAGAGAGTATCAGTAAACAAAAAACGCTATAACTGCTGGGCTGAGACTTCTGAGACACCAAACTGGGTTGAAAAACCAGCGTCCGGCGACTCCTGCCACCTGGCGCCACATAAACACCCTTCGCCCTCCCAAAGAAAGCTGCTTAGGTGGCGCTAGTCGGGTGAATGTAAACAGCCTTATTTTCCAGTTGGCCCAATTTCCCTCCGGAGTCTGAATACTGACGTACAGATTTGGAATGTACCATTCTCTTAACGCAAGCTATCAAAATTGAAAAATTCGTAGGCATATCCACAAGAAACTTCCCCAAACAACTTTTACATTTCTTTCCTATATTACTGTCAAATTCAAGATATGCCAAAAGCATTTTAAAATACGTCATTCCATTTCCCAGCTCAACCTCGGGCCTGTATCACTTGCGCTCGCTCATACGTCATTTCCTGGAGCCGAGCCAAGAAAACCGGAAACCTCCGGTACTGAGCCGAGCGAGTTCGTTCCGCTGTTGCGTAGGTATGGGCCGAAGGAGAGCGCCCGGTAGTGGGTCTGTGGGCCGGGTCCTAATTCGGCATCAGGCCCAGCGAAGCCGTAGCCGCCGTCATACCGACTCCTGGGTAAGAAAAACCCTGCCGTCCCTATCTTTTCGTCTGGTTTCGAGCGCTCTCATGCGACAAAGGTTGGAGTCAAAAGTCATAAACTGGCCAGTGCTCCGTGGATTTTGAAGAATGGGTAGAAGTTTCAGCCAGACGGAGAAGTAGGCCCCAGAAAGGCACAGGGCACAGGGGGAGGCTTCAGTCATGGCTAGTGTGTTGGTGAGGCTGGGATGAAAAGGTGAAGCGCTTTGAATGGGGGTCTGTTTTAACTGTGCTTGAGTTTTGCCATAGGAAGCCATGTGCTCTCGGGGGGGCGGGGATATACAGAGAGAGAGAGAAGAGAGAGAAAGAGAGAAAAAGAAAGAAAGAAAGAAAAGACTGGTTTTTGAGTCAGGGTCTGCCTGTAGCCCCAGCTGACCTGGAACTCACTGTGTAGACCAGGCTGGCCTTGAACTCAGAGATCCACCTGCCTCTGTCTCCCGAGTGCTGGGACTAAAGGCCTGCGCCACCACGCCCCGCTCTCTTGGAAATTTTTAAGAATTTATTTTTGTGTGTGTCTTTAAAAATTGAAACGGGGCTGGAGAGATGGCTCAGCGTTAAAAAGCACTGGCTGTTCTTCAGGAGGGCCTACGTTCGATTCACATGGCCCCTAACTCCAGTTCCAGGGGATCCGACACCCGCTTCTGACCTCGGCGGGCATTGCATGACACAGGTGTACCTACTTACATGCAGGCAATACACTCATACACGTAAAATTAAAATAATAAATTACAGTCTCCATACATAGCCCAGGCTGGCTTAGGACTCGCCGCTGCCTGCGGAGTACTGCCATCATGCTTGGGCCTTTAAACTTTCTGGTTTTAGTTACCAGCTTATCCAGAGAATTGATTCTTCAGAAGCTGTTAGTTCCATCAGAAATGCAAAGTAACTCAGATCCCTGCTTTGCACTGTGTTTCCCTCAGTGGTTTAATCAAACGCTTTGACTTGTGTGTATCATCCTAGCTGTCACTTTATTCCTCCGGGTATTTGAGACCATAACGAGTTCTCAGTCAGAGCTTGTGCTGAGTTGATTATGGAAGTGTGTATGTGTCACACCATCCCACTCACCACTGTTATCAGGTCTGGACATTTGATTACTAGTCATCTTAATTGACTTTAAAGCAACTTAGTAATGAAGTAGCTTTGGGGAAATGGGGAATAGGTTGAATGTGAATTCTAAAGAACTAATTTCTAATCTTTATAATATTAATTTTTATTGATTCTAAGTTTTTTAAATATTTTTATTTTATGTGTATGAGTGTTTTGTCTGCGTGTAAGTGCACCAGTGTTGTGCAGTATCCTTGAAGGTCAGAAGAGGGTGTCAGACCCCCTGGAACTGGAGTTTTAGATGGTTAGCCACTATGTGGGTGCTGGGAATCAAACCCAGGTCCTCTTAACCACTGAGCCATCACTTATTTTTTGGGGGGTGTCTTTTTGAGACAGGGTCTCCCTGTAGCCCCAGCTGGCTTGGAATTTGCTGTATAGACTAGGCTGGCCACAAACTCACTGAAGTCCACCTGCCTCTGACTCCCAAGTGCTGGGACTAAAGGTGTGTATTACCATGTCCAGATTGATGCTTAATTTTTTAAAAATGTATTTACACCCATAGTACACATATAGCTTAGGATGATATTTATCGAACTCTGGTTGTGTTAGAAAATCAATAGCTTGCTTCTTCTTCTTTTTTTTTTTTAGTGGTCATTCTAGGCAAGCCTAGCTTCTAGCCCTTGGGGAAGAGCGGTCCAGGTCTCACTATCTAGTTCAGTATGGCTTCAATTTTTTGCCTCCTGTACCACCATGTTTTGATTTAAAATATTTCTTGTGGATCTTTATGAAAAATTTTAACTGGCTGGCAGAGTCAAGACAGTCTGCGCTCCAGTACTGTATCTGCTACTTAGTTTGCAACTGTAGGCAAATTATTTTACCTATTTAAACCTCAGTTTCCTAAATAGTAAAATGGGGCTACAATAAAATTAATTCCAAGAGTCTGAAAATGAAATTAAATTTTGAAAGGGAAGTGCCCCTGATAGGCACCCATAAAACAGTTTGAGAATTTTGCACTGCTGGACTTGAAGCCATTAAAACTTGGGAAATAATCTGCTGAGCTATGTCCTCAGCCTAGCCAGTGGTATTGGTAGTATATATTTTAAAGGAGCCAAGCCACCTTGAGACCACAGAATAGTATCAAAACTGTATGGACCTATTTGGATGTCAAGAGCAGAAGGCAGTAGCCTTATTTTTTGCCCTGTGTTTTATTCATAGTTGCACACAAGTGAACTCAACGATGGCTATGATTGGGGTCGTCTTAACCTTCAGTCAGTGACTGAGCAAAGCTCCCTTGATGACTTTCTCGCAACTGCAGAACTTGCAGGGACAGAGTTTGTAGCTGGTAAGTTGTTCATTGCATGAATGTGTATAACACTGATCACATTTCCCTCTTGCTTACTATGTACACATAAGTCTGCTTGGAAGTGTTTGAGACAGTACTAAAATTGTAAACAGGCTGTCTTTAACCCAAAGGCAAATATTCCAAAAGCAGTATTGGAAAGTTCTGTTAGTGTACTGTAAAATATACACTTTTTTTGTTTTGGGGTTTATTGTTTTTTGTTTTTTTGTTTTTGTTTTGTTTTGTTTTTGTCTTTTTGAGACAGGGTCTTCTTGTAGCCCCAGCTGTCCTGGAACTCACCATGTAGACCAGGCTGGCCTTGAACTCACAGAGATCGCCTGCCTCTGCCTCCCGAGTGCTGGGATTAAAGTCATGCGCCACCACTCCCGGCCATTATACACATTTTAAAATTCAGCTTTAAAAAACAAAAAATCCCATCAGATTATTCTTCATCATATCAACTTCAAGAAATTATTGTTAAAAGCAAAATCATATCCTTGCTGTTGTTAGGCACTTTGAATTTAGTCACTGCCATGTGTGCCTGTGTCTGAGTGTCTTCTAAGCACTTAGAAGAATAAATGACAATATTATAAGTTATTTCTCTCACTGTTATAAATGGCATGTAGCTTAGAAAGTCATTCATTGTGGCCTGAACTCTCTCTGGGTCTCCTGAGCCATCAGACAAACCATATAATATATTTTATGTGTATTTATTAACTTACAAAGGAATGAGTACCCAGTGCCTAGCCCCGCCCCTTATCAGACCGTGCCACGCCCATAATTCCACTCACACCTCTGGGGCCAGCGATCACCCCAGGTCCATAAAGATCAGTCCATTCTGTCTTTAAGCTGTGGCGTGGCATTCCCATGCCCACGTGCGCTTCTCTCGCTCAGGGCTTCCCTTCCAAGATAGCTCCTAGCTACACCCCCCAGCGTCCACAGTCTGTGGCAGGCCCTGCCCATTGGAGGAACTAGCCAATCGGGAGACAGTCATTTATTCAAAATGCTTTCATTAAACACCAGCTACTCTCAAGCATTGTGCTGGCTACTCATAGAATAATGTTGAAAGATCCCTTTTGTTTCTTTAAAATGTGGTTTTGAGCTGGGCATGGTGGCACATGCCTTTAATCCCAGCACTCAGGAGGCAGAGGCACATGGATCTCTGAGAGTCTGAGGTCAGCCTGATCTACGTAGTGAGTTCCAGGCTAGCAGTGGCTACTAGGGAGACCCTGTCTCAAAAAGACCCTAAATAAATAAATTAAATAGATGTGGTTTTGGATGCTATAAAAGAAGTCTATAAAAAAAAATGGGTCATGAAAGATGGAGTTAGTCAGTGTAGTGGCACCTGCCTTTAATCTCAGCACTCAGGAGATGGAGGTTGGTCGATCTCTGTGAAATTGAGGCCAGCCTGATCTACATAGCGAGTTCCAGGCCTGCTGGGGCTCCAGGAGAGACACTGAAATGATTGACTTTCAAGATGATTAGCAGATCTATCACTAGACATCTTTTGTGTTGGTAAGATCACCTAAAGGCTACTCAGCAAATTTCAAGTAGATAGTACAGTATTCCTAATTCAGATCTCCATGCTGCGAATTAGATGTTCAGAGCTACTCGTCCTGCCTAATTGAAACACTTTGCACCCTTTGATTGACTTCTTCCTGTTTCTTCCACCCACAGCTCCCAATAACCACCATATTATATGATTCCATTTATATGAAAAGTCCGGAGTAGGAATGTCCGGAGGGATGGATTACTGGTTGTCTGAATCGGGGTGGGGGGGTTGGAGGATGGGAAGTAGCTGAATAAAGTAAATAAAAGTTTCTCATTGAGGTAATAAAAATGCTCTAAAATTGATAGTGCTGATGGTTATAGTTTCTATGAAAACATGGGTATTGAATGCTCTAGAAGCAAGGAAATGGCTACCCAGTGGTTTATTCAGATTGAATTATTGTGCAGCAGGTGAAAAGAAAAGATTAACTGAGTACTACTATGAAGGAACTCCAAAAGCTATTGTCTAGATTAAAAGACTAAGTTGCAGAATAGTGTGTACAGTGTTGGTACAATTAAAGACACTCAGACACAGTCCATGTATGTATGTGAATATAAGAAAAAAGACTCAGAAAGCTACACATTTAGTTTCTTTACAATATTGTTGAATTTTTTTAAATTTATTTAATAACCACATAATTAGTAGAAGCATTTCATTACAACAGCATTGACATAGTCAACAGTTTCCAGAGCAAAGATGTATCTCTTTCAAAATTGGCTGTAATTTTTAGGTTCACAGTGCTGAATTAATACAGTTATACATTATTGTACTTAGTATAAACCCTCTAAGACATCAAATTAAATGAGGTTTTAACCTTTAAAAAAGATCTCCATTTCATTTTAAAATACACCATTTCATACAGAAAAACTCGTTTTTAATGCAACTATAATTATATCGTTAAAAGTTACATTTCAACCTGGGCATGGTGGCGTATGCCTTTAATCCCAGCACTTGGAAGGCAGAGGCAAGTGGATCTTTGAGTTTGAGGCCAGCCTGGTCTGCATAGCAAGTTCCAAGCTAGCTGGGTCTACATGGAGAAAAGACAAAATAAAAAAAGTTACGTTTCAAAACATAAAATAAGATTAAGGAAGAGATGGAAGAGAGTTGATTCTAGGAGGAGATGGGCATAGGATGGGATTGAAAACAGTCAGAAAGGTCAGCTCATACAAGAGGAGCACAGCTTCCTGTGAGGCTGATGAAGGAAACTGAGGGTGGGTGCACATCTGTATCTAGTAGCTCCAGTTTTCCTTCACAAGGTAATGACAAGGTTATCTTCTGGAAAACAAAGTGAACAGAAGACTAGGGAACTGACAGAAAACAACTGCCATTTAGGGATTGGGATAGATAATCCAAGAACTAGACTGATTTCTTCCTACTGTGAGATATGCTGGGGTCTAAGAAGTCTATCCATTTAGATATCCTAGTCTATCCATTTGTCATACCAGATAGCTGCATTATTGAGCCATTTCCTGTACCAGTGAGCACAGCATGACAGATTAGAAACAGATAGGTAGTTGGAGTTTAGGAATTCAACAGTGGTTAGGGAATGTACAAGCACTTTGAGCTACATAGGGAAAGAAGGCAGGAAGTGGGCTGGGATAAAGGGCATGATCAGGGTCAGATTTCTCAAAGTTAGATGGAGCAAAGTGGAAATGTAGGTGGGAGACCCCCATTGGAAGGAGAAGGTAACATCACAGAAGCATCAGATATTAGAAGTGGTCAACTGTTAGCTGCAGTTGATTTGGTTGAGGATCATGGTGGGTTACGTGGTAAGTTACTGGACTGTTCAAGGCCCTACTTGGTATATGGTAGTTTGATAAAGACAGCAGACTGCAGTCTTTGCCAAAGGTGCAGAGGAATGTTAAAGATACTCATTTATCTTTGAAATAGAGCCTTCACTTGGCACTCCAGGAGGAAGCTTAGCTGGCTTCTCAGGTTCTGGAGTCCCCATTGCCCATGCAGTCTAGGTGGTGGCTGTGTGAGGTGAAATAGGAACTGTCTTGGGCAGCTGGAGGGGTAGCCTAGAGCACATGTCTATTTCAGATCAAAGGTTGCTTGTACTTTTTAAAATTTTTGATATAGCCACTAGTAGTGAGTTTTTAATAAATATATAAATTTTGACAGTGTAGTATGTAGTTCATCGCTTCTAAAGAACTGATCTGTTTGCTTAGTCTTTGTTCTTTACCAACTCCAATTAGCTTAGAATTATTCTTTATGTAAAATGAGGAAATTTTGCTATATGAAATCTCTTTAAAATATTTTATTTTATTTTTTTAATTATGTGAATACATGTGTGGGTTTGTGCACATGAGTGCAGTGCTCTACTTACATGCTGTGTGTGAGCTACCTGGTGTGGGCTCTGAGAGTGAGTACACACTCTTAACCACTGAGCCATCTCCCCAGCCCCCTGGTTAAATTAAATCTTTCCAGTCCTTTCCCATTGTTATTGTTTTTGTTTCCATGAAATACAGTCACCATATAGAATTTTGTAAAATTGGTACTTAACAAAGTCATAACTTTTTGAAAGTGTTAGTGAGGTAGTGAAGAAAAATTTTTTTCAGAGATATCTGTTTAGAAAACTTTATTTGAAAATTAACCTAAGTTGGGGCTAGAGAGATAGCTCAGGGGTTAAGAACACTGGCTGCTCTTGCAGAGGACCCAGTTTCTATTCCCAGTACTTACATAGCAGCTGTATTAGTCAGGGTTCTCCAAAGAAACAGAACCAGTAGAATGAATATGTATAAAGATTTATCAGCTTAGCTCACAGGATAGAGTCTGAGTAGTCCAACAATGGCTGCACCACACGGGAGAGGCTGAGAATCCGTAGTCGCTCAGTCCACAAGGCTGGATGTCTCAGTAGTCCCAATCCGGTGCTGAAGGTCTGACAAATTCCAAAATATCAGCTAGTCTTCAGTCTACAGCAGCAAGATGAACTCACCAGGGAGAGAGAAGGCAAGCCGCAAAAAGCCCCGCGCTCTCCTCTGCCTTGGTCTTTTATACCAGCTGCCATCAGAAGGTAATGCCCACATTTAGGGTGTGTCTTCCGGCTTTAGATGATCCAATCAAGAAGATCTCTTTCATTTCAGTTAATCTCAGATCAAATCAAGTTGACACCCAGGATTAGCCATCACAGCAGCTAACAACCATCCTTAACTCCAGTTCCAGGGGATCCAACACCGTCTTCTAACTTCCTCGGGCATTACATGACATGGGTGCCCTTACACACATGCAGGCAATAGTAAATAAATATTTTTTTAAAAAGAAAATTAACCTAAGTCAGGAAGACTTAAATTCTGTTTTAGGAAATTAGTCAAGTTTATCAAAGTGATCAACATGCAGTATTTTAAATGGCCTCTTTTGGATTTTTTTTTCAAGATCAGATTCCTGTGTCCCAGGCTGGTCTTGAACTCAAAATACAAGTTCCTAAATTCCTAATGCTCCTGTTGGGATTACAGGCACGTAGTACCACAACTGGTTTATATAGTACTAAGGACTAAACTCAGGGCTTTATGCATGCTAGGCAAGCTTTCTGCCTACTAAGCTACATCCCTAGCTTCTAAAATGACCTCTTGAGTAATAGTACTTTTCTTTTCTGTGAACAGAGAAGCTTAATATTAAGTTTGTGCTCCCTGAGGCTAGAACTGGACTGCTGTCTTTTGAGGAGAGCCAGAGAATTAAGAAACTCCATGAAGAAAACAGACAGTTCTTGAGTATACCAAGGAGGTAAGTTGAAAAGAATTTAGATCATTAGAAAATAGAGTCACTAAATACAGAATTCTTAAGTTCATAATTTTTCTGCTTTCTTTCTTAGCTGCCATTTAACATCCAAATTCTCTTTTTATTTTAGTAGATTATATATAAAATTCCTCTCTCTATGATTGTTTTAGGCCAAATTGGGATAGGAAAACTAGCCCAGAAGAACTGAAACAGGCAGAGAAAGATAACTTCCTAAAATGGAGACGTCAGCTTGTCCGGTGAGTATGAGACTGTAAAAATTTATTTTGAAACCCCAAGTACAGGCATTTCAACATGCTTGCATTTCCATTTGCCTTCTGAAGTCTTGGTTCCTTTAAAAGGGAAATGTGGGGGCTGGCGAGATAGCTCAAGAGATAGAGGTACATGCCACCAAGCTTGATGATCTTAGTTCAAGTTCCTGGACCCACCTGGTAAAAGGAGAGAATTGATTCCCAAAAGAATCCATTGACATTTGCGCATGCACACAAAATAAACAACTAAAGTGCAGTTTTAAACGGGGATAGCAGTGTTCTTTTTTCAAGTACATGTTGGTACATATACACACAACATTACTGGGTATAGGTGTGTCTGCACAGAGGTGCTGAGTGGCTATTCTGTGTAGTACCTAGTCTTTCTTAATTCCATTCTGTAGTCAAGAAGTACTCTGCAGTTGATTACAGCTCTTCTGACCATTCTTCCAGTAAGAGCTGTGTGAGAAAGAAACTTCTAGAACCTAAAGAGCTTAAGGATGAAATTTGAATTTGGTGGAGTATAATATAAAAAATTTTTATTTTTGTTTTGACGCGGCCAGAGATATATTAAAATAATTGGACAAAGCCTAGCCTAATGGTGCGGGCCTGTAATCCCAGCTGTTCAGGAGTCTGAGGCAGGAGTGTTGAAAGTGCTCATACACATAAAATAATAACAAAGGCAAAGCGGGCTCAGTGTAGCTCAACAATAGAGCGCTTGCCTAGCTAGCACAAAGCCCTGGGTTTGATCCTCAGTACCATAAACAATAGTAGTTTACAGTATTTGTATGCTTATTTTTAAATGTATTATATTTGAGTATTTACAACACTTAAAACTATTATAATCAGGCAAAGATATAAACTTCTCATTCTAAAGCCAGGCTAGAAGAGGAACAAAAGTTGATATTGACTCCATTTGAACGAAATTTGGACTTTTGGCGCCAGCTCTGGAGGGTCATTGAGAGAAGGTGAGTAGCCATTTTCTTTGTATTATGAAGACTTCAGTATTGTTAAGTTGGCATGCATTCATGGACTGTGAATCCATGGAGAGGAAGAGTAAGCTATGCAATGAGCTATTGAGAATTAGAAAAACAGGAAGTGACCCTGGCTAAACTATAAGTAGGTCACAAAACAGAACCAAAAGTCACAAGTCTGGGAAAGGCACTGATGAGGAATGGTTCATAGGGATAGAAGGGAGCTAGGAGAGGGTGAGGGAGTGATTAATCAGAATGTATCATATACATGACTGTAATTGTCAGAGAACAGACTTAATTTTTTAAACTGGATGTATGATACTATACATCATTTAAAATACAGGGATTTTTTTTTTTAGGCTGGGGAGCTAGTTCAGTGGTAGTGCCCTTGCCTAGAATTTAGTATGAGGCCCTAGGTTCATTCCTCAGTACTGGGGGTAGAGAGATACATACATGTGTGCGTGTGTGTGTGTGTGTGTGTGTGTGTGTGTGTGTGTGTGTGTGTGTAAAAAATA